CCCCAAAACCCCAAAACCCCAAAACCCCAAAACCCCAAATTTAGGATTTTTTGTGGAAATAAGAAAGATGTTAGATTAGGGAAGGTGGGTTAGTGGTGATTGTTGAATGGAGAGAAGGGGTTGTTGGGGTCCTTCGTAGTGGCAGGAGAGTCTTTTAAGGCTGAAAACTTTTGGCGCTGTGATGGGGTTTGAGACATGCTTGAGTTTTCTATAATATATACGTTGATGCTTCTTTGTTAGTCTTGCTTGAAACTGATCACTTGGATGTGGCTACCTCATCAGATTTAAATGAATTGGGGTCACTTTTATAATTCATCCTTGTATAATTATGATTGTATCTTTGGACTTCGCTATGCCTATTTGGAGGAGAATTCACAGAGTTCTGCACCTTACTCAAAAATCCATCAGCCATTCCCAAATCTGATTTACTCTTCCCAATAACAAACTCTAGCTGTTTATTCCTGTTTTTAGGATTCTTTGCTACTTCAAACGGGTTAAATAAAGATTTGTTTTTTTCATCTTCAACTACCTCTTTAGCATCCTTCCTCTCATCAGCTCCTTCCAAAAATCCTCAATCTTGCTCTAAACCACTAGTTTTATCATTTTGTTTCTTAATTTCTTCTTCCCATGGTTGTTTCGCTTGAATATCTTTGCCAACTCGAGTCATTAAATTTCCTTGGCTGTCATTTTCGATATCTATAAGCATATTACCACTATCATCCAAGCTAAGGCTCTTTTTGCCCTCCTCTACAAATTCCAAACCGCCTTATTTCCCAAAAAACTATCCTATCTAGCCCTAAAAAATCCAAAATTCCTCCTAAGCATCTTAAATTTCTGAGCACTAAATTATCTTAACAAATTTTAGGGCTCAACAATCCTAAACATATCGAAAACTTGCAGAATTTATTGCTGGCAGGTTACTAACAGATAGAATGTTGGTGCACTTAAGACCTTTGGGCACCCATGCCACAGGTCTCTGCCTGGGTGAGCATAATGGACACAATGTTAGCCAGAGATTATGAAGACGCTTGAAAGAGGCCACATGGGATTAATCTGGATATGAAAAATTGTTGAACATTGTGCTTGGAGTATTTCTCAAGGAATTTTGGCCAAAAGGGAATTCAAATAAAAAGTGACAGATTACCTTTAGGAAAGAAAGTTCAGTTGTACTTTGAGACTACATCATCACTATATTCTGAGCACTCTTGTGAAGGATTGCTAAGCTTGGCAATATTAAAAGGAATGGGGTTTGGACTCTCATCCATACCTCCCACGTCATTTTCTTGGGTAATGAGGTTTGCGGATCCATTATTTGTGATTCCAAAGATATTATGACACAAAGTCTTTGTGCCCAGAGTATCTCTCCTAATACCTTGCAGTCCAGACTTAGGTTTCTTTTCAGAATTTAACTTATCAAAGTCAATTTGTTTAAACACATCTGGATCGTCGTTAAGGGACTTCTTGTGAATAATGCTATTTTTATAGATATTTCTCATCCTATTTTCGCTATTACTCCTTTGTAGCGATTTAGTGTATCCTTTAAGGAATAGAGGCTTCTCAACTTTCACATTTTGGGGTGCTCCCTGATTTCCAACGAAGTTGTACTTCATAGAGTTTAGAATATCATCCTTGTTATTAACAACACTATTAGCATTTGCGTTCCTGCTAGGAGACTCAGAATGGGCCCTTTTTGTATCACTTCTTGATCTCTTTTGAAGAACCGGGAGTATATATCCTTTGTCCTTCTCTGAAGTAAAGTTTGCATGATTGCTGATATAATTACTAGCATGTCTTCTACTCCGACCAAACGTTAAGGATGGGGTTTCTGCCTTCAAAGCAAGCAATAGCTTAGCATTCTGCTTAATGTAAGACCCTCTGCTATCCCTCGGATTTGAACTTGACTTCTTGATAGCTGAGGAATTCTTAGTGATAACATTGTTTATTGAAGGATTCCTTTTCAAGTTGGAAACTGATAAGTATGATACATGTGGTTGAACTTTATTAACTCCAGGTGTATTAAGTCCAACCTTTCTATTAACTCTTGTATTTTTAGCTGATTGAAATGGCCCTTCAGCTAAGTTCTCCTTATAATCAAGATTATTTACTCTATTTTGTGGATAGTTTATAAGTATAAAAATTGATTTTGTCCTCATCTCTCGTCATTGTTATTTATTTGAGAGTTATATTTATCAATTTTGTCTGCATCTTCTGGAAAATAGGGTATTTTATCTTGTGGATAAGCCATGTTTTTCTTCTTTTTATCGATAAAATTTCGAAGACTAGAATCGCTCTCCGAAGGAGAGACTAGTTGATTATTCATTTCTTCAGGCTTTACTACAGAAGCAAATTTATTTTCAATAACAGGAATCTTTTGCCTTCTTTTAGTAGGATCACTGAATCTAATTCAGTGCCTTTTGATATTCGCTTTCCCTGTATCAATACAACTCCTAGGATTCTTTTGTCCCTCCACTAATCCAAAATTCCTTGAATCCCCTTTCCTTTTGCCTCCAAAGAATCCTTCTGGGAAGTTTTTGACCATCTGCTTACTAATCTTGCTGCTTCCAAAGCCCATGAATTTCTGTCTCTTGAGGCTCATTTTCTAAATTATTCAATATTTTTACATTTGCTGGGGTTTTGGGGTTTTGGGGTTTTGGGGTTTTGGGGTTTTGGGGTTTTGGG